TCTGACCTTTCCACCCACTGCAGCAAAAGGACAGTCATACAGTGCTTCCCCAGCACCATGGAATTCACTAGAATTGTTCAATCCTGATTTGTTTCGTGCTATTGCTCTTTCTGTGCATTGCACTGTATGTGTTGTATGCCACTATCTAGGTTAGAAAGGATTCTGCAGGAATCTCCCAATTGGGAAACAAACACACACAAAATAGAAAAAGCAAGGTGAATGAGAAAATACAGGATTCTTATAATTCTGCTCCACTCCCACATGTAAACTTCCACTAGAAATCTGGCCCCAAACTCTAACAGTCTTCAGTTGGAAGTCTTCCATTGCTAAGCATAACTCAGACAAATAGAGCATAAACGTTTGATGACATGAGTGAGGCTCAGCAGTCTTATCTGCATAGCCTGAAAATGATCTTTGATCGTCTGCCAATTCTTAAGTTTAGGCCTCCAAAAGATTGATTTTTTTAGCCATCAAACTGCACAATCAGGGAAGATATGAAACATCAGCAAATACTCTAGAATATGTCCTATGTCATGACTGCACTACTGGCCTTAGTGTCTTCAGAACCATACATCTCCCTCAGTCTTATACACTACAGAATTGGGGCATTCGTTTTTTAGTTGTACTTTGGCTACAGCATTGCAGTGGCAAATCTCGCCTGGAAAGGTACTGTTCGACCCACTCCACCCACGTGGTACAATTTTCTGACTGACAAATCAACATGTGGAACAAGTTAACTTAAGACATGGAGAAATTTATGAAGTGTAAAAAGGTAGCAAGGCCTGAAAGCACAAAAGGAGTTAGGGGTGCCCAAGTCTCTGTTTTAGGCACCCAAGTCTCAGTTTTGGGACCACTGTGATGCACAAAACTCCCACTGATTTTTGGAGCTGTCTAAACTCACTCAGAGCCTAAATCTCTGCAGTAAAAGTTCCCTAGCTGCCTAACTTTCGTCTCTGGGCATGCAAACTGCTGTCTCACTGTAGGCGCCCAACCACCTACCCTCTCGGAAGCCCCAGAGCGATTCACAAACCAGGGGAATATAGACATTCTTCCATCTAAATCACATTTAGGATCCAATCCGCTAGGCATGCTCAGAGGGCATCAAACAGATTAGGCCCCGAAGGTAACTTCACACAAAATAGCTGGAGTGGGGAAGAGGACTTTCCTTTTACCCTAACCACTGTGCTATACATTATTCACATGGAATATGGGTTCAAGTCACCCTCAGGGGAAGAATGGATTTGAACAGGGATCTGCCACCTCTCCAGAGAGTGCTCTAACCACTGGGCTATATGCTATTCTGATATGCTGCTCCCTCAATCTCCCCTGTTGAAGCTGATGCATTCTGGATAAATAATTAGAGAGTCACTGCCAAAGGGAAAATGGACCTGGTCTTCCATCTCCCACGTGAGCACTCTAACCACCAGATTATAGAGTCAGTCAGTCTCTCTCACTCTCACACCCAAATGACTTCTTAGGAGTCTTCCTCCTCGCCTTTCCTCTCCCCTAGCTTCTTGCTAACAGCATAGGTGCTTACCGCCAAGAGAGGGTTTGCAGCGGAGAATCCCAGGAAGAGATAAGCATCTTCCTGCAGCCCAGACTTAGGCACCTGTTGCGGGCAAGAGGGTTTAGCATGCATCCATCTCACTGGCATCTCCCATTGGGTAGTGTAGGCAGGTCCCTTCCTAGCATGCTAGTTTTTGTGAATCACAATCTCCTCATTCATTGTATGGGAGCCTAGACAACTAACTCAGGCTTTGTGAATCACAGTGATTTTCTGGGTGCCTAAAAGTTAGGCATTAGGACACTCAGCATCACCAGTCTTAACTCCTTTTGTGCATTCAGGCCCAAGTGCCTCTAAAAAGTCATGAGCACTATTTCCCCCCCCAGTATAAAGTTATAAGGAGGAGCTGCAACCATTACACCCAGAATAGAAGAGAGACTGCTACCAAGCCTGAGTGATGTGCAAACTCAGGAAGAGAAGCCAGGAGTTGCAGTTGGATCTTGTGCACTGTATTCACCAAGTCTGAGTAGTTTTTGCTTCAAGGGAACTACTCATGCACTTAAAATTGGGCATGTCCTTAAGTAACTTGCTGTACTAGGGCCTGTATGAAGAGAAGGAGGAACAACTGAGCCAAGGCAAAAATAAGTTTTTGCTGCTTTTCATTCCTGTTACCACTATAATGCTAAGATAGCTATGAGTGGCTACACTGGATTCCTTTCTAGCTCATGGATCAACAACAAAATTATTAAGTAAACTCCAGCAGCAAACTTTACCTCAGAGTACAGATTTGTACATTGTTACTGCACATTGACTACACAATAATATTCATCAGCTGAATCAGGGTTACTGGTGGTGACGTGCAAGCTAGAAAGAGCACAACCTGATTTTCTGATACCACAGTGAATTTGAAGGGCTGGTAGCTAAGGGGGAAAGACTTTTTACCTTTAAACTGAGTAAACTGTATATGTTATCACTTGAAATACAACTATTGTGGAAATCCATAATGCCATTTTCACAGTCACTTTTTAAGGAAGAATCAAATTGTAATATATAAATAAAAGGGATCATCAATAGACAGGGATACAAAATGAGGAATAAAATGAGAAAAGACATTACAGAAAGTTAGTTTTACTTTATAAAACAGATTTATTAAATTGTTCCAATTGTCTCATCCTGCTCCAAAACAGGGGGAAAGACTCCTATAAAACCGAATCCTACCTTATTACAATTAGAAATGAATGTTAATATTTAATACCTGACATTCGTTGATTAACTATTACTTATAGGGAAATGACCCAATTAAAAAAATTCATATCTGAGCAAAGGTAGTTAATTAGTAACAACAAAACAATTTTATTATAAAACCGTTGCAATAAAAACATTTATGAGACAATTCTCTCCTTGAACACATAGCTCCCAAGATGAGATTTACACATGGCCTTTGAAGAGAATATAAATCCTCAAATTATTTTTAAAATAATGGAACTTCATGGAGCAATAACCATAATTAGAATATGTAGTAAAATTACTCTGTCACAGGTAGCTTTGAATAAAATATTACATTATACATTAAAATTTCCTATGATCTCTCAGATGTTGAAAAATGTACAAATTAAAATCAGAGAGATAGCAATTCACTTAAATTTTAAATATACAGGAAAATGTGAAAGCAAATTGCTTTCCTAGTAAATGTAAACAATGCCTTGGAGAAAAAAAAAATAGATTACCCATCTCTGACAGATTTTAACACACAATTTAGTGAATGACTTTTTTATGAATTTGCAGTCTTACCTTTGAGTGCTGCCTCTGTTGCGCATTATTATTTAAAATTGAGAATGGCAGCAGAAGACAGTTTGTATTGCATCTGTATTTTTAATTTTTTTTAAAAATGTAAAACTACTACTAACTAAAATCTGCTCTGTGATGCTTTTTTCCAAAACTGGAGTCTAAATAGGATTCCTTTCCAGCTCGTGCATCATCAATAGAATTGTTAAGTAAACTGTTGGACAGGGTACAAACTTCCTAAACAATCTATTAGAACACTACCATCTCCTATTTCAAATACTTCCCCAAGACTTATTACTGCTTTGATACACACGTGTGCACACACACATTCAGTCAGCAACTAAGTATGGCTAGGTTGAAGGATAGTCAGGAATATCCAATATTTAATTTTAAAACGTATATATTTTCAAACAAATCGGAAAACACAAAGTTGTAAATATGGGTCCCTATCCTGTTCCCACTGAAGTGAATAATAAAACTCCATGGACTTCAGTGGTAGAAGATCGGACTCACAGGCTCCAGTTCAGCAAAGCACACAAGTACATGCATAATCTTAAGCATGTGCTTAAGTGCTTTTCAGGTGCATGGCCATAGCTAGTTTATATAACTATATGGCTATATTAACATTAACCTTGTCTTACTTCTCCTCTCCTCCCTGCTTCCCCCCCAATTGTTTTCTGAACTCCCATGTAAAGTTTTGCTTGAAACTGGATCATCAACTCTTTGGGGCAGGAACCAAACAACTGTACAGCATCTAACACACTGAAATCCTAACTGGGGTCTGGGGGTGATACAACAAATGAATAAAATAATAATGTAGCTGATTTCTATTTAGAACTGTAATATATCCAGGGAGCTAGACTCACCACTGGTAGACATAACCCCATACAAAGTTAATTGGAACTGAGCAACCTTATGCCAGCAATGAACATGGCCCCCCAATATTTGAGCAATAGAAAGTCCTACACAGTATTATCCGTGATCAAGTTAGATTTCTTTGTTGCATTTCCTATAAATAATAAATCCCTGAACCTACAATGAGATGTGTGCAGTTAAACCCCATTCCCTGTGTAGAGTCCCACTGCAATGTACGAGGCTCTGTGCAAGTACAGAGGTGCTTTGTGCACATCTCATTGCAGGATTGATACTTTAAGTTAGGGCCCAAGATTTCTCCCATTAAAGTCTATGGGCCCTTATTTAGAGGAAATGGGGACATCTGAAAATTAATAAGATAGTTAAAAATTAGGGTTTGGAGAGTGGAGGAAAAAGAAGAGAAGAAAAAGGAGACTGCTTAAAAATGCACACTAAGCAAAAACTAAAAATATAGCTGCCACTCATGTAACAGAGGGAGTTGTATATACACCTCTATCTCAATATAACGCTGTCCTCGGGAGCCAAAAAAATCTTACCGTGTTATAGGTGAAACTGCGTTATATTGAACTTGCTTTGATCCACCGGAGTGCGCAGCCCCGCCCGCCCCGGAGCACTGCTTTACCGTGTTATATCCGAATTCATGTTATATCGGGTCACGGTATAGCGAGGTAATGGTGTACTTATATTATAAAACTATGCATCTACCATTTGCTAAACACAGAAAGCTGCTGAAACCGATCAGCATATAGAATTTCAAACTTGCATGCCAAGCACAAATGCTAACTGATTAGTTATGAAATTCAAAGAAATATAACAAGTAAAAAGATCATAGGATTACCTTGTTCCAGTCTAAAGCATAGGGAACGTTTTGCAGCTTCTATCTCAGGAGTTGGATGATCCAGAATATGTCTACACCATTGCAGAGGACTCAATGATTTCTCTTGTGGTGTGAGGGTCTTAGTAGGCGAGACATACAACCTCAATTAAAATATGCAGAAATATTAGCATGTACACAGTACATAAGCTTTATATTTTTGTATACTTGATTGACTGTGTATTAAGAATTTATGTTTCTAACACTAAAGTGATGTAATAATACAGTTTTCATAAACAGTACACATACCCCAAAGAGACAGATTTTATAATATTTTCTGTGAATATTTAATACTCACTGTAAATTAAATCATTGCAGTGCTTAATTTTGTATTTAAGAACTTCATAGTAACATCTTTTACATTCTTTCCTTCAGTGATTTACCCAATCATGTCAGAATTGATATAATATTACAGTTTTCACAGGCAGTATCTCTCCCACATGATACAAAGACTTTATATATTATACTGTACATTACATACAGATTTGGGAAATTAAAAAAGTTTGCTGGATGATGATGATGATGATTTTTACACTCCTGGTTCCAGCCAGATGAACCAACGTGCAAAAAAAGAAGTGTAGGAGAAGCTGTTCTATTTTTGTCTGGGCTTGGAATACAATAGGCAGCTAACCACAGAGACAAGAATGTTTGAGTATCTGGTCATCTCCTGTGCTCCTGGGGTAGAGTTTACGTTTCTACTGGTGTTTAAACCATCTCACGGTAGGGGGCTTGATGGTTTTCACAGCTAAATTCTCTAAGCTGGTGTCCACTGTTACTGGAGTCCTCACGGATTTTGACATGCACGTAGACATAGGTTCACCTGGGAAAGCACACATCTTCCTGGATGAACTATCATTAGCTGCTGAAGACAGCTCTCAGCTTCCTCACTGGACATCATACCCTGTTTGTTTCTAAAGCACAGTGTGGTTATACAAACTCTTAAATAGAATATCAGAAGTAGGGCAAAAAGGCACAACCGGCCAGGAAGTGGAATGTGAATAGCAGATATAAAAAGGCTAAAGTCAAGACAAAGGGACTAAGTCTCAGATGATTACTAATTAGCGACAGAGCCCTTCACATTTAGGTTATTGGTGCAAAACCTGCTCAGCTCAGTAGTGAGCTATTGCTATGTAATGCCTGCTTAGTAGCCTACTGTTTGGGAGATAAATTGCGATCCAGCTCCTAATGGACAAGTGTCCTCATCACAACTGGTACCCTTGTTTGCAATCCCAGCAGAGTTCCAGGCCTGAATTGGTCAGACAATAGGGCTGACCTCCTCTCACTTAATACAATGGTTGTCTACACAATTAATCCTCAGAATTAAAAACCACGATGAGCCGCATATGTACTGAAAATAACATCTCAGCTCCATTGTTAACTTTCAGCAGTATTTTGAAAGTAAAACATGTGACTGACGAGTTCTAAATAATTTGATGTTTACGCAGAAAGATGACAACCAAGGGAAAAAGTTTTTACTTTTTTGTAACAGTATCTTTTTTTAACTGCAATTTTTTAGAACAATATTACAAAAGCAGTTAGGGCCCAATATTAAAAAGTCAACAATTAGGATTGCACTGGCCTTTGGCTTTCTAGATTTGACACATTTTTTTAAAAAAGATTTAACAAATCATCAAAAGATTAACAATAACCCCACAGCAGCTAACTGACAAACTACCACTGACCAGCAATGCAGGTCATTAGAGATTCATCCCTGAAGGAAATATGTAATGTGCCTTAGTTTTATTAATTTAAACAAGTAACTGTCCTTCAGAGTTACCAAGAGCCAAATTCTGCACCTCAATACATACATTCAGTCCCCAGTGATACCATAGATAGGTAGAATTTGCCCCCAAATAGCAAGATTCTTTCCAAAGAGCAAACCAAACCTGATAAATAATCACAATTGATATTTGCACTGCAAGACTTGCAATAATACCGATCCAATACAGCCTTAAAATGTAAGCATGTACAAAACATTATTAAATGCAACTAACCAAGCAAAGTGGTCACCCCCAAATCAACTAAATGAGACCAGAGAAACAACACCCTACCACATTATCTGTCATGAGCAATGAAGTTTGAAATTATAAAACTGATTCATCCCAGTCATGTTCCCAAAACTGTCCAGCACAATCTAATCATCTGCAGAATCAACTGGTATAGATAAGTCAAGTACGATAGGTTTCAGAGTAGCAGCCGTGTTAGTCTGTATCCGCAAAAAGAACAGGAGTAGTTGTGGCACCTTAGAGACTAACAAATTTATTAGATCACTAATAAACTAACTATCTACAATTGTTGGTGATTCTCAAGAGAAGAGCGTCAGAAATTAGGCCTGTTATCTAAAAATCTTTATAGAGATAATCACATTTTGATGAGTCTTAAGACCCTACCTATACTACCACAATAACCATGTTTAAACATGGTTCTGGCTCAACTGCATTATATCATGATATGCTCTTATCTGCATAAATTTAAAAACTATATTAGAACATGTTAAGGAAACATCATCACCTGGATAGACACCCAGGCTATTATATGGCTCTTTAGCATAATTATAACATTCTTTTTCTCACTGATATATTTTAATACAGTTGAGCTAGAACCACGTTTAAATGTGGTTAGTTCTGTAGTGCAGATCCAGCCTTTCAGGTCATTTTCCGTAATATTTATTAGCACTCTTGAGGATTACTACACAAGCTGTTAAGATATACAAGTTACAAGACACTAGACAATTCTGAGTATGTTTGGTCTGACAAAGTGGGTGAGGTAATATCTTTTTCCGGACCAATTTATGTTGGTGAGAGAGAGAGAGGAAGCATCTTTGGAGCTTACACGGGGCTCTTCTTTGATATTGTCTCACCCACACTCTGTCTCTCCAATATACTGGGACCAACAGAGCTACAACAACACTGCATATCTTTGTCTATCCTTTTCCCTTCCTGGGCATAAAGAACCAGCCACAAATATTCCCCTAGTTCGATTTTATTTTCTGCTTCTTCCAGTTTATTGACACATATTCATACATTATTCTGGAACCATGTACATATTTGAACAATATAACTGCACAACAACAATGCCCAAAAGTCCAAAGCCCTTCTATATTGCTGAGAACTGAAATTCAACTTGAAAGAGGGTAGCATTTTAAGGAGAGAATAGCCAGTACAACGAAAACTGAAAGCATTCCTTATTTTTTAAAGAAGGCTGTAATCTCTTTCTTAGTCCTTCCTAAAATGACTGTAGTAAATCCATTTTAAAGGAAGCAACAAAAGCCTTAGTATCAAGACTAAAAACCAATATACTTACCAGTCATGTTGCTCTTCAGTAAAATCTTTTCATTATTTTTTACCCAGTTAGGTTTTAACCTACACCAGATTTTTCACCTTAATTCTTCCTTCCTGACATCTACCACTTCATAATTGCCACATTTATGACAGTGTTAATTTAACGTCCTGAATGAATGGCTAGGGAGGTCACCAAATCTTAGAAGCTCAGTCAAATGTGAGAGGTGAGCAAAGAAGATAAATGTGCTTAGTAGGAACAATAAAATTCAGTGCAAAATATTGCTCCCTGGTTTTTGGATCATTACTGAGTAGGTTACAGTAGCAGAGACAGCCTGTAGTCCTGCTCTTTCCAAGGGATATAGATAGGCTTGAAATTAGGCATGCAGAGGAGATGGAGCATAAAGAGGCTATTAGGAGATAAACTCTAGACTTGAGAAGCAGGAGACAACAGAGGTCTCAGAAACGGCCCCTTTTCATTGAGAGAATTAAATCACACCAACCAGATGACACGTTTAAAAAAAGCAGATTTAAGATTCAGCAAAATAAGATCAAGTGGATTTTAGGGTTAATGCTAATCAGCGACTTGAAAGCACCAGCTGTGTAAGAATTAGGGAAGACTGGGGAGGGGGGCACTTAGCCAGGCTGCATTATTACAGCCGGGCTCTCCATGCTTAACGGGGGCGGGATCCCGTTGCTGTCCCGTCCCTCCCAAGGCCCCTGGTGCTCCCGGCGAGGGGGATTTGCCCTGGGGCACAGGAGCGGCCAGCCCCGGGACTGGGGCGCTCAGACAATATCGGGGGAGGGGGGGTGTCATGTACCATGTGTCCTCGTCCTGGCTGCAGTCACCGTCCTCCAGGTCCAGCACCTCCACCTCGTCCAGCACCGTGGCTTCCCTCGCCGCGGGGATGCTCCCGGCCTCCTGCCCGCCTCCTGCTGCCGCGGCCAGGCCAGCCAGGGCGGGCTTGAAATAGACGAAGGGCTCCGGCGGGCCCAGGCTAGCGGTGCACAGGAGAGTGGGCGCCGGGCTCGGCATGCACAGGGCCCCGGGGCTGCCGCTCGAGGCCAGCCCGGCCGCTGCGGGGGAGCCTTTGGCGGGGACTGGCGGCGGGAGCAACAGCAGGTGCGGGCTGGCCGGGGCCGGGGGGGCGGCGGCCGCCGCGCGGCTCCGCAGCTGCTCGTTCTGCTTCTCCAGCTTCCGCACCAGCTCCTGCAGCTTCTTCACCTCCAGCTCGGCGCTCACCACCGAGCCCGCCCCGGGCCCGGCCGCCTGCACCTCCGCCATCGCCGGCGGCTGCAGCCAGGCAGCCTCCATCCGCCCCGCCCCGCGGGCACCTGCTCGCCGCAAGGCTGCCGGGCTCCCTCGGCCGCTCGCCTCCTTCCCTGGTCCTGCTACTGGCGGCGGCTTTGGCTTCTCCCCTTTGCAGCTCGCGTTCAGCCTGGTCGGCAGCAACCGCCTCAGCTGCTCTTGCGCCTCCTGTCAGCAGCGACAACACAGCCCGGGGGCTCCCCTCCCACTCTGGCACGGGAGAGGCACCCGCACAATGGGAACAAAGAGCGGCCCGGCTCCAGAGCCATTAGCCGCGGGGGGATAAAAAGCGAGCGCCTGAGGAGGAGCGGGGCTAGAGAGAGGCAGGGGAGCGGGAGCGGGAGCCACGCCCGGCAGCATCCTCGCCCCCAAGGCACCCACCTAGGCTTTGATGTGGTTGCAGCCACTGCCGGGGGAGGTGGGGGCTCCTCTATCCCTACCCCCTCCCTAGACAGACACACACACCCCAGACACTGACATCAGCTGTTGAATCATGGGCACAAAACAATATCGTGGGGGAGAGCTGTCTCGGACCCAGCTTCTGCCTCGATTTACACTCTGTGCCCCGCCACGCCCTTGTATCTAGCCCCTGAAACTTCCACCCTCCATGGACCTGCTAGGAAGGACACCGCTTTTTTTATTGTTATTTTTTTTTTAAACACGCTGAGCCTGCAGCCTTCACTCGGGCCAAACTACCTGGTAGTTTAAAATAGAATTAAACGGTTCATCCCCGCGGCCATAGGGAAGTATTAAAACCCAAGTCTTTCAAAAAATAGCCTATCTACCCAGCTGTGATAGCTACTCCCCGACTCTGATTCTGAATTGGGTGGCTCCTATGCTGGCATTTCCTTTTTTATCAAACTATATAATTAGAGTCTGGTAGCGTGGGGGTTATAATTATGCAGATTTAGCTTGGTAGGAATGAAAAAAATCACACATAGAAGCCTTTATTTTGAAATAAATGCGTTAACCAGATGTTCATTTGTCACACTATAGCCACGTATATGGATGTGGGTGAGTGGGAGAATATATGTATTTGTGTGCCTTTAGTGAGTTAGGGTCTTTGAGTTGGTCATAAGGAATGTGCAAGTATGTGGTCGAGAAAAAATAGTAGCCATAGATGAAGCTGGAAAGAAATTTAATCGGGTCTGAGTGAAATATTAAATAATCAAACAACTATTTATACATTTCAGAGTCACTGATTTTAACTTTCCTCCCCTCCCCGCGAGATAGATTTCCTTTCTTTGCTCAAAACATTTCGATTATCTTATACATCATTTTGAGTCTTGTTTTAATAATGGGATGATTAATGATAATTTTCATAGAGCGGAATTTGTTCAGTGTTTAAACCACACTATTGTTGCTTTACTCACTTCCGACTGGCAGTTTGACTGAAAGCTTATGTCTGTTCCACATGGGAATATACTTGAATGCTGGCGCTCAGAAAATGTAGTGTGTATGTTTGCATGTTGCCCTTCCAAGATGGAAGGTAGCGATCATATAGAGAGTCTAATAACGTAAATTTAAAGAGCACACAGATACAAACTAACTCCAACTCATTCTCTCTTAACAGTGAAGATAACTGGCTATGCACCAGTACTGTTAAGCAATAGTTAAATGAATAATACTTTGCACTTAAATGGCACTTGACCTATTCAAATCACTGAACAAACATTAAACTAATTAATCAGCATAACATCCCTCTTAGGTAAATTAGGACGACTATCCCCATTTTATACAATGAGAAAGCAACAGTAGTGATGTTATATGCCCAAGGCCACTTAAGGAGTTACTTATACAGCCCAATATGTCCAAACCATGCTGTATGTATACCAGTTTACACCACATATATTACTATATGAACAGCTAGACGTTTCCTAAGGTATGAACACGGAGTACAAACCCAAGATTTACTGAAGGCAGCATACATCCAAGTGCTAGCACATTATTAAAAATAATTAAGTGGCAGCTACCCATTCATTCAACACCTCTTTTTTGGCCAGATTAGCACTGATGGGTACCCTGCAATCACAATGATATTTTTATTTTAATCTGCATGTTAACAGTGCCAACTTCCTACCTGGGATTTGATCTGAAGAGAGGATTGACCCTAATTTCCCTGTCCAGAACCCAAGTAGACATTGGACTCATTCAGTCCAGCACCATTTTGTCTTGTCTATTTAGATTCTTTGGAGCCAGACTGTCTTAATTTATGCCTGTACAGCGCCTAGCACAACTGGCCCCAGATCTTGCTTTGGGCTCCTAGGCACTATTGGGATGCAAATAACAATAACAACAACAGTAACTGTAATTGGTTGGAAGGGAAGATATGACAGGTTCTGAACGTTTTTGACTTCCAGATACTGTAAGTTTTATCATTGTAGGATGAATATAATGCCCAGTGTAGGGGACAGTACCAAGATACCCTTTAAAACAAGCAACTTAAAAGTGTTTTTTTTCTGTACTCTCTGCCCCTTACGTAAAGGACATTTCAAAATATTAATAGAATAAAAAATTACTGAGGCCCCAATTCTGCCATCTTTACTCACAGTGAATAATACATTCCAGTTTTCTCAGCTACAGATAGGTACAATCATTATTCCAGTTAGGTGAAGAAAAATAAGCTCCTACATATCTGCCTATGCATAGATGCAAGCTCCAGGCAAATTGCTGATCTCTCATTATACTGCAATAGATTTTATACTTGATTTTCTCATTTATCTTCAAGTAATCTATCCAGCAGTTGCTATCTAATTTAAAAAGGCAAATTGTATACTGTTTCTATTTTTTCTGAAATCTCTCATATGACGGTCTTTCTTTCTCATCCACTTTATACTGTCATGAAATTTGCTCCTCACTTTTAGATACTTTTGAACTGGTCTGACAGTTAACAAATTTCATCATCTTAAAGCTTGAGGTTGGGGAGGTAGGGAGATTAAAACAATTCTTCAAAGACTGAATTGCTTTAATAAAATCTCAGCAGCATTTTCGGGTCCAAATCATAAAATCAACATCAGTGAAAACACAATCCTATCTGGAAAAGCAGGTGTTAATATTACTAAGGTCAAATGACTTGAAGAATGTCAAAGTAATTTACTGAATTACTAAGAAATTATCAAAATTTGCTAAAAGTGTTAACTAGCCATTTTTAGTATGAGAACAAAAGTGAGCACCTCTTTGTTTATAATACTTGCTATTATTCTTTGTTCTACACTAACTCAAAAAGTAACATTAAAATTGTTCAGTTACGCATGCACTTCTATGAGAAGCAGAAATGGAAATATATTCAAGGACAAAGGAATGCATCAATTGCCATTAGGTATTTAACCACTAACAAAAACAATAAGCACCAACATTCAGAAGTATGCATATATTAACCCAATAGAATTTTAAAATTATCACAAGACAACCAGAAGTGTATGTGAGTCAATGGCAAAGACTAAACATCAGTGTTAACATCAGCAGTGCACACACGGGAAGGAGTAAAAACAATGAGGAGTCCTTGTGGCACCTTAGATACTAACAAATGTATTTGGGTATAAGCTTTTGTGGGCTAAAACCCACTTCATCAGATGCATGCAGTGGAAAATACAGTAGAGAGCTATAAATACACAGCATATGAAAAAATGGGAGTTGCATTACCAAGTGGGGGGTCGGTAAGGCAACTCCCATCTTTTCATATGCTGTGTATTTATAGCTCTCTACTGTATTTTCCACTGCATGCATCTGATGAAGTGGGTTTTAGCCCACAAAAGCTTATACCCAAATACATTTGTTAGTCTCTAAAGTGCCACAAGGACTCCTCATTGTTTTTGCTGATACAGACTAACACGGCTACCACTCTGAAACAGGAAGGAGTGTGTGTGTGGATAGACATGCTGAAATAGAAAATGAACTTTTCTCCTTGAACCAGACAACCAAAGCAATTTAGTCAACTAGTGAGAATAGATTATTGAATATCTGACTACCTTAGCTCTTTTCTGCACTAGACATTTTCTAAATTTTCCAACCATTGTTACCACTAGTTCAGCACCATCAGGGTAGCAACAAGAAGAGGTACTAGTATGGACATGACACGAATGGTCCCCCTTAGACTGGACTAATGCTGTCACCATTGCAGAAACAGCCTTGGAGATGCCATCTCATGTGACACCACAGCGAGAGGCAATGGAGCTAAAAGCCCCCAAGTTTAAACAGAAGGAGTGTTGTGGCAGGTTCTTTTCCAGGAAGGGTCCTCAAGTTTGGAATTCATTGTCCTACCTTTTCCCCTTTCTTGGACAGAGCTTGAATTTGTTGACCATTAAGGAATATTACAGAGCCAGCCTATTTATTTTCCCAGGCATTCCTTAAAGGGATGCATTGAGTAAGGAAGAGGTTCTGCTCTTTTCTGACCATTCTCTTTAATGTGTGTTTATTTTTAATAATATTGTGCATGCACTCAAAGCTGTGGATGGGCACATTTTTATAAACAGAAATAAATACCTGTGCTAGAGCAGCGGTTATGGGGGCTTCAGTGCTTGTCTACACATGTCCTTGTCTACACTCATGACAAAAATCATATTTACCATCATGTTCTTTAAATAGTGCAGTTAACACATTTTCTACCCTGGCACATTTTTCCAGCATTCACGCGACTAATGTCTCAACAGGGATCAACAGCTTTGGTCAGGGACCCAATATTTGCCAACAAGGTTGGACAACAGAAAAAACTTTACCAGCTAGTTCCATACCACAATGAAGTCCTTGTCATTTCATATTTCCTCCCTTTTTATTTATTGATCAATTTGTCTGATTCAAACTATAATATTGTAACGTGTGCCTACCACCTGCTACTCCCAGTCCTGAAAGAGTAAGATAGCCCAAAGGATGTCAAAACATCGGTAGAGTTAAACTACTTCGGTCTTCATGTAGTATAGTACAAATCTTTACATTAAAACACATGCCAATAGACACCCACCGCAGAGAACAAAGCAGCAGGGAGACTGAATCCCATCTGCCCATCCCTG